TGGCCTCAAGGCCATGTGCTTAACTTGAGCCAGCTTTGGGCATGGTCTCCAAGGCCATGGCTCAGTGTTTCCGTGAGCCAAGCCGGAGCCGAGCCACGGCTGAGCTGCTCGCTCAATGCCGTCTTTGGAAGCGGGCGAGCCGCCAAAACCAGAGCCGAGCAGGGCATTTGAGGTTGAACCAGAGTGGAGCCGTGACTCAGTTATTATTTGGGGAGATGTTTGCTAACGTGGCCTTGAGATCAATAATTATTCTGCACAATTAAATTATAAACAAATGCTGTTCTGCAACATTTTGATTTCCATAACAAAAGTGCTTTCGTCATCACGTTACGAGATGGAAGAGATCAACTAGGAAGCTCGACTGCGGTTAGCGGTGGATCACCTTGTGCTCCATACAGCCCTGCACGATGACGCCGCACGTCAACGCCTGCGGCCCACAAGAAGAGGCGCTGCCGTTCAGCACCGGTGCGTTGCAAGACAACGCAATCACGGCGTAGCTCAGGGAGCGACTCTGAACCGCGACGATTCGTGGGACTGCCTGGAGGGGGCTGTGAACCGCTCCACCACGAGCGGGTGACCCTGTGACGCTCACCAACAGCATGCCAGGCTCGCTCAACGAGAGAGAGGCGGCTACGCACGCGGTGGCTCAGGTGCAGCGCCACCGCCGCACGGTTACACTTCCACGACTGAATACTTCCCAGGCCGATTGGCACCTGTTAACAATGTACATTGAAATGAAAATGTATAATTATTAATTATAATAAATTCATGATAAAGTTGTTTTGGTTAAATTGCGTATATGTAAATGTGTCGTGAACCCACCTCCACCCGACACAGCCACTTAGTTACTTCTTCAGCACACACTAATGGACAAACCTCACTGATTGGCTGTATCGGGTGGAGGTGGGTTTACTGCACATTTATATATTCGCAATCTAACCCAAACAACGTTATTATTAATAATATCGGTCCTGAAACTCTACGTGTTACATTAATAATAATGTATTGGTCTCAGTGATGTAATGACTCAAGACTTGTCTGAGCGATATAATTTAATAAATAAAATTATTACATTTACAGTACTTTCTCAAGCCACTCCTGGATCAAGGGCTCCCCATGCGTTTTGGTCAAGGGGGGGGGGAGGGGGTTGTTTGGCTATACTTCACCACACTGGCCCGTGTGGGTTGGTGCAATGTGGAGGGGATCTCGGCAGGGCCAGCTCAGCGATCATTCGCCACTGACGGGAACCGTGGCCGGGGAATCGAACTTCTGGTCGGCCGACTCCACCGCTGCTTTAACCGCCCCAAGCCTTGCCCTCTGCTCATGAATATAATTGTGGCATCTTGACCCAGGATAGCCGGAACGGCCCAGTGCCATTGGGGAGTTTGGCCGCCGATTATATTACTTAATGAGCATTTCACTTGCGGGAGAAAGCCAAAGCCCCCCAACTAAACCCACTGCCAGGACACCTCTATTATGTTTCCCACGTGCAAGTTGTGTTGTGTATAATCCGCACGCACTGTGTGGAGGGGGTTCCGTTTTCCCCCACAATATAATTTTTTTAAATTTCATTCCACCGGTGTCACGTCACGAAGCGGACGCCAGCGTCCATTCGGAAGCCACGCACCGACCGATTGAGAAACGTGAAAGGAGACATCACAGAACTGCTCTTGAGAGCCCTTCAATGGACCTCTCATCCACACTGGGTGATGCCGCACATTTCCCACAGTCCCTGCCCGCGAGAGTCGACGTTTGTCGTCATGTGGCGGCGAAACCAACATTTAATTTGTTTACATTCTTGGAGCCAATGAACATTGCCTCGCTACGCTTGTGAACCAGGTTGAAATTGAGGGGCAGCTGAACCCCGGATCGACAAACCAGGAACTCCGTGGTGCCGCTTCACGCCCCTGACCCCACACAAAACCTCGCCGAGCTTGTCAAGGAGCATAAACCATCATCATACAAACTCCAGTCACCCTGGCAGCAGAGGCTTTTGGCTGGCCATCGAACAAAGACGGTCACCACATCGCGCGCTTTCAGATGCGCTTCTGCGGCCGTCTGGAAGGCTCTTCCTTCCGATATTAGGAAGCCAGTGGGAGCTACGCACTTTAAAATCTACTTCTAAAACTCGTTTCTTGAGAACTGCTTTTTGCATTTCGTTTGTTGCCCTTCCTCCCGCACAAATCCGACGAGTGCGTTTGGCTACGTACGGTGTAGTCCAACACACACACACATACGAGCCACTTCCTTCACCGCAAATGCTTTGAGATGACACCCTCAGGGTCTGCACAGACGGGCCACAAACCGACTTTGCTGTACTCACACTCCTCCTGACCGCCACCTCTTGGGCCAAGCCGGGCGGGGAGCCGCACAGCACCGTGGACGAGCACTGCGCGAGCTGCGGGGCTGGCGCTCCGCAAATGTGAAGCTTTGTAGATATAGCCCCACCACGATAGCATCAACAACAACGATAACACTCAATGGGTTTTCAAGGTGGAAGGGGTTGCCCCCATGGCCGCCGCCCCCACTGTATCCACCGCTGCAGTAGAGGAACCGCTTACACGTTGACGAGAAACGCAACTTGTGCGAGCGCCTGTTTTGGCAACAGCTGCCGCTGCCGAGGAGGAAGTTGAAGACAAAACCACAGACCCTCGGGCACCCCACCGAAAAACGGGCTGCACTGCCTTGCACTGCCTTGCACTGGTTGATATCAGCAGCGGATAGAACATAGCTGCATCCACGGGCGGCCCTAGACTAGCTGCCAGCCACTGACGCCCTAGGCAAACGATGCAATCGGCGGCCCCACCCCCAAACCCCAAGGGAAGATCTTGGCTGAGGATTTTGGTAAAATGGGAAACATTTAGCTGCTATTTTTTCCGTTTATGTTTTTGTAAGCGGATTTTTTTTAAACAGTGGCATAATTACTTAGTTTGTCCGTCTGTCTGTCCAACCAATACATTCCCAGCAATATTGGGAAATAAATTATAATTATTTTCCCTCTGTATACGCACGGGGATTGAAATAATGACATCTTCGTTTATTTTGTTTGGATTATTTTCCTCGAATTTGGCGCCCCACTTAACCTGGCGACCGCCTCGTTCACCTGCATGGACGGGCCGCCCCCCCCCCCGGCTGCACGGGCGGCAATCAGCAGCGGATAGAACACAGCTGCTGTCGATTACGTACGGTGCGAAGGACGTTCAGCATACATACTGTACACACGTGAAAAGGCAGATATTAATTATTCAGGGTGACGAAATACTGCACAACCACAATTCACTTCGCTTACGTCTATCGGGGGGGGGGGGGTGTTGTCATGCAAGCAGACCGCTCACTGGACGCAGAGCCAAGGCGACAGGGCGAGAGGAGCACAGACAGCACACAGACAACACACACACAGCACACGCACAGCACAGAGACATCACATAGACAGCACACAGACATCACACAGACAGCACACAGACAAAACACAGACAGCACACAGACAGCACACAGACAACACACACAGCACAGAGACATCACACAGACAGCACACAGACATCACACAGACAGCACACAGACATCACACAGACAGCACACAGACAAAACACAGACAACACACACACAGCACACACACAGCACAGAGGCATCACACGGACAGCGCACAGACAGCGCACACAGCCCACGAGGCTGTCGCCTCCACAGCAAACGGCAGCGTCACCGCCAACCCCCTTTGACAGAATACTCTCACCGCCTGCACTTGTGGGCAATTCACTTCCAATGCATAACCACGCTGACCAGTTCTGGTGAAGTATGGTTGAACAGTCAGACAACCCCCCCTCCCCTATTCCCACTCCCACCAACAAACTCCCACGGGAGACTCCTTCATCCAGCAGTGAATTGGCAGCTGGGAGCGGTTCGCGTGACCCCTGCAGCCGCAATTGGCCACAAGACACCGCAGTGGGAACAGCGCGAATCAGAATCGAGTCTCTTGAATCCCACGGCTCTGAATGGCGACACTCCCATCACAGTCGGCGGGGCTTGCCCATGGTGACCTCTCGCGAGTGAGACTTCGCACCGGATAAAGATCTCCCCCCCCCCCGTATAGTCCAGACTGGTGGCGCAATTGGTGTTAGCCAGGAGCGCCTGCACGGCACACGAGATGGTGGGGTGGCCAGCACCACGCTCGACCGCCTTTACCTTCCTAGTGGCGATGTTTACACATCGCACCGGGTGTCGTATTAATTTGAGGCCGAGTCGACCTAGGCGAGGCCCATGACCGGCTCCGATATTCCCACTGGTGTTGATGGTCGAAATTAGGGCCGCCAGTTTCGCAGCTTAACGCGCTCTGCGCTCACCGCTCACCATGATGGGATCGTACAGGACCACACTCACTCACACGCGTGCATCATCATCATTATTCAGCATTCACGGCCGCGTGGAGCTCAGCAGCCTTCAGACCTTAAGCACAAAAATTTAACTCCCGGTCAGGGTCGGTTTCAGCCCATCACCATCATAAACATCGCCACCTGAATCGGCCTCATCATCCACCTGCGGTCAGTAAAATGAGCATCACGCGATAAAAAAAAACAAGTTATAAACGTGTCGATTGAGCAGCTCGCGGTTGTTTCATGGACAGACTGGCCCCCGTCATAGGTACGTGGAATGTATAGCGGGGAGTATTGCTTAACGTCGTGAAAGCGAGTGGAGGGCAGCCCGCGGCTGGCCGTGGAGACGGCGCCTTGCCCTGCCCGCCCCCCCACAGAGGCCCCCATTAACTATTAAATATGAAGGCACCGCCACTGTAGCGAGCGACGCGGGCTCCATTACCGCGCCATTCGACATTGAGAAGGGCAGAATGGTGGTGGTGGTGATGGCGGCGATGTGTGATGGTATTGCGTAGCGATGGCTGATGTCGCTTTGCTATGGTGGCACATTCAACAGTGACACCCCCCCCCCACGATACGCACCACCGCGCGCCCATCCTCCATGATCGTCACTCATCCTCAACCCATCCTCACCGATCTTGGCGAGCGACGCGAGCAGGATCCACAGGGTGATGCCGAAGGGCACGCGCACGTGGTGGAAGTCCACGCTCACCACGTGGATGCCCGTGGCGAGCACGTGGTCGTGGTGAGCGTCGCTCACGTTTGTGGTGGAGCACGGCGACTCCGCCGAGCTGCAGCCGTGCGGGGCGGACTCTGCGCCAGCGCACGGCAGCGGCAGCGCGAGGAGCAGGGACAGCGCCGACGCCACCAGCGGCAGCAGCGGCGGCGGCGGCGCGGTCAACGACATCGCGGGAGGAGGAGACGTGGACGAGGTGGGGAGTGTGAAGGTGTTGGAATGCGTGGAGGTTCCGGGTGGAGGTCCTGCAGTGGAGGGAGGAGTCTGGCGTGGAGGAGTTGGGATGTCGGCACTAAGTGGAGGTCACGGAATGGAGGAGGGAGTCAGGTGGAAGAGTCGGAGTGGAGGTCCAGGGTGGAGGTCCCGGGTGGAGCTCGGGGTTGCTGCGAGCTTCTCGCTCCTCGCTCCGGACGGGTGCCTCTGCGCAGCTGCCGGCAGCGCGATCTCATCTCGGGTGCCGCCCCCGTCCAGGTGCTGGCGCGGTGTCTCTGTGGGCGCGGGGCCACACGCAGCGCAATCAGCAGCAGCAGCACACCAACTCACACCGCGGGAACACCACGGGGGTGGAGGGGGGTGGAGGGGGGCGGAAGGGGGTGGAGGGGGGCGGAGGGGGGTGGAGGGGGGCGGAGGGAGGTGGAGGGAGGTGGAGGGGGGCGGAGGGGGGTGGATGGGGGCGGAGGGGGGTGGATGGGGGCGGAGGGGGGTGGAGGGGGGCGGAGGGGGGCGGAGGGGGGTGGAGGGGGGCGACTTCCCCATCCGTGAGATGGACCGTGCAGCCAGCCAGTCGGCTCCTGCGAGGAACCACGCAAGTCATTGCTGCTTTATATCAAATCGCAGTGATCTGTCCACTGCTGGACGAATGCCTCCACAATTAAGTCATCACCGTCCCTCCTTCACGGTGTCCGCTCCATCTCCGTCGTGGTTGCCCCGCGATGCGTTCCCTCGCTTGGCGGACACGCGCCTACGTCGGCCTCGACCTTCGCTTGGCCATCATCGACCCGTCCTCGCACACAACGCACCCATCACAGTACTCGACAGCATGCGCGTAGACTGCACTATACCGAACACCGCGGTGAAAGCCTGACATTGCACTTTAGTTCTCTTAATCGATTAAAAGTTGCGACGTTGGAGCCAGCGGTGCAAATTCCACATTCGCACGGCCGGGAGCGAGGACATCCAAACGGCGACCACTGATGCTCGCTTTACAGAGTGGCATTATCAACGGCCCGACCGCGACTGCTTATATAACCTGTACTGTACAGTCCGTCATCATCAGCGCTTTCCCAAGGACGCGCCGCTCCTGCTGCTGCTGCTGTCCGCGTGTAGCAGCAGCAGCAGCGGCAGCAGCGGCACCGCTCCACCTCCTGCGGCAGCCACAACGCAGCACCAACGAGCAGGCCGATGCGCGCATCTCTCTTACGTCGATGGCAAATTTAAATGCGCAGCCACAGCGGTGCGATTGTGGCCATGCAACCCATAGAGACCCATAGAGACCCATGGAGATACATAGAGACCCATGGAGATACATAGAGACCCATGGAGATACATAGAGACCCAGAGGTACATAGAGACCCATAGAGACCCATAGAGACCCATGGAGATACATAGAGACCCAGAGGTACAATCGGGGTCCGTAGAAATACATGGAGATACATAATTACAAGCCACAGAAGTGCGATTGTGGCCACACAACCCAAGTTACGGACCGCACAGTGGACCCGCTGTGGTGTGCGCTCCTCCAACAGCGGAGGAGCGACGCGAAGTCTCTCTCCGCTGAAGCCTCTCGTCGTGGCCAGCAGCAGCAGCAGGCATCGACCTCCTTGACCTTACTGCCATCATTCGCAAGCATAGAACTGCCTTTAAGAAGTATATAAAAAGCGACGTTTCGGGTTACGATGCTCTAAAGAGCACAATACCTCTATGGCCTATGTGCCGTGAAGTGCCATTGCCCCAAACGTCGCAGATTATGGACTTTTCTTTTTAAGGAAGTGTTGTTATTATTATTGACCAAGGTGTTGCGTGTTTCAGCTGCTCACGACAACACCCACTGCTGCACTCTGTAATCACACCTGCAGCCAACCCCATCCGCGCAGCCAATCAGCCATTTATTCATCCAATCATTAACTCGTAAATTAGTGTAATTAAACCATTCACGCATACAATACATGTACTGTATTCAACCATACATTCACTCGTGTATTCATTTATTCAATACGGTGTTATCAATTCACTCACTCGGCTATTCACTCAACACGGATGTACACGGAGCACTGCACTGCGCTGTGGGTGCCGGCTATGCCTCCTGGAGAGCAGCAGCAGCAGGCCGTGTGAGCAGCAGCAGCAGCAGAGGCTGTGTGAGCAGCAGGCGGCGGTGTAGCTGTGTAGCGAATGCCGCGCGGCAGGCTCCCTACCTACAGCAGCAGCAGCAGCGTCGCGCTGGCAGCGGCCCGCACCACGCCCGCAGTGCACGCCGCGGTGAGCGGCCCGCTCCGAGCTCCGCGTTTATACCCCGCACCCCCTCGTAGCGCAGCGACAACAGCCGCACCCTCCCCTCCACCCGTCCCTCTGTCACACAGCCCTTCCCCTCCACCCGTCCCTCTGTCACACAGCCCCCTGCCCGCTTCGCTTCGCTATCCCCCTCTGCCGACCGCTCGTTTCTCACCGCGCATCCCGTCTCCCGCTCCTCCCGTACCCCCCCCCCCACCACCGCCCCACTCCTTTTCTCCCCCCTTCGCTCCCCTTCCACCTCAGTGCCCGACTCACCGCGGCCTCTGCATCCCGCCCGCGTCTCCGGGGCCGCGACCCGGTCACCCTCGACACCCGCACCGCGCGGTGTTACAACAACAACAACAGCAGCAGCAGCAACTGCGTGCGTGCGTGCATCCGCGTGCGTGTGACGCGTGCGTGCGTGCGTGCGCGGTATCTGCAGCAGGCGTCCCCGGCACGGGAACGTCGCGGCGGGGTGGATGCGAGCCCCGTGGTGGCTTCTCGGTGGAGCCGCGCGCCGGGGTCTCGCCGCCTCGGGGCTCGGAAGCTGTCGCACACGCACCCGGGGCGAGGTCCGGCTCGGCTCACAATCACTCGGGGGGTGGGGGGGGGTGCCCGGAGCCTCCAGCCAGTGGCGGCTCAGCCAGCGGTAGAGAGCGAGCGGCTCGCAATCGGGAGGTCGCGAGTTTAAATCGTGGTGGTGGTGAGGGATGACTCAGCCCATCATCCCTTCACTCGGTTTTCTTTCAAGTAAGTGCCACTTTGGGGATCGATACAATAGGTACTGCTTTGGGGGGGTCAACAGCGGTTGTGCTGCGGATACTTCTTGTCCCACCACTGCCTCTGCAGCAGGGCTGTGAACAGGAGATGAGCACCGATGCCTTCATGCGACTCCTCTGTGAATACCGCTGCTGCTGCTGCTGCGTTGGCAGTAGTGCACAAACAACAACAACAACACAAACAACCTCAACACATTCGTCAATAACTACGTGGCTTCATAAGACAACAACATACAACGTATAGTTGGCGACGCTTCGAGCCATATCCTGTCTTCATAGCGCGTGTGCCAGCCAGCACGTCGCCGATGTCACTGCCTCTCTGCTCCACAACGCACGGCGGAGGCTGCGCGACCCGCTCGGGCACTCTGCCAGATGTAGGCGCGAGGCGACTAATCAAATCACTTGCGCTCTCATGCCAATGGATCGTCATAAAATGCGTCCGATGGAAGGTACGGATGGCGTCGCGTTGGCGGAGCCGGGGACGATGCTCGTTTCTGCGTTGTTGTCTTAACTCGGCTGCTGCTTCTGCTGCATTTGATTCACCTTGCCCTGAGAGGTGAATCACCTCCCTGTTCGCGTTGTACACCAGCAACGTTCATCACCACCACCACCACCATCGGCTCTACCACCACGGCAGAGGCAGCAGCAGCAGCAGTGGGGAGACACCGCCTCCTGTGCTTGCCGCGATGGTAAAAGCACGCGCAGCGCTCAATCACACGGCTCCGTACGGCTCCGTACGGCTTGATTGACCCAGCTGCCTCGGGGGGGGGGGGGTCTAGTAGGGGGTTATTGGGCTCGGGGACTAGGGGTTGAGCTAGGGGACTAGGGGTTGAGCTGGGGGGCTGATGTGTAATTCCACACTCTTCCTGCACCCCCCCCCCCCCCAGTTTTTCAGTCGCGTATCTCGCTCCAGTGATCGTGTTCCTAAACAAGGAGTAATGTTTATGGCCTTCATCAGAACCTTTATTTAGACTGGATGAATCCCATCAGCTATTATGGTCTTTTTCGCATATGTCCAGTAGATGAAAGTATCTCCACATTTGCAGCGTCGGCCATACAAGTTGCTCGACCATACTTCGCCACGCTGGTCACTGCGAGTTGGTGAAGGAGGAAATGGCCCAATGAAGACCAGTTCAAGCATGGCCGCTGGCGTGGCAAGCAACCGAACTTTCTTCCCACGCCTCGGCACATCTCCACCGTAACACTGCGTGCCCTGTGCTTTGTGTTGTACCAATGTCAGGTGTCATAGAAACACCGCGTACCGAATAACAACATCAACACGCTGTCCCTTTTGGCCCGCTTCGTTTCTCTGCAAGATTCGGGTCATGGGTGAGGGTACTGGATTTGCATTGAACGGGCGCAAAGAAGACTCGGCAGTGAGCGCCTCGGAGTGTCCATCAACCCCCCTTGCCCTGGGGATAATCGTTCACCACCCACAGCAGCAACAGCAGCGCCTCGTTTCGCTTTTGTTTCATCTGTAGGCTCGAGAGCCCAGTGAGTGTTGTGGGAGCGGTGGTGCGGTGGTTAGCGCATTGCGGGACCCGAGTTCGATTCCCGCTCACGACAAATAACAATCACGAATATTTGAACCCGTCCGGGACCTCCCCTAGGCTTACTCCGCCTTAAATGAGTCCCTGGTGCGGTGTGTAAAACATAAATCACTGGCGAGGAAAAAAGGGGACCGGGCGTGGTGCTGACCACCCACGCATTTCGTGTGCACTTGCCCCAACAGTACGTTAAAGGCTATACGGGGGATCTCTATCTGTGTTTGTGGGTGCTGCCGCTGGCCAAGTGGCAAGAGGCGCGCGCTGTGGAGTCGTGCGGCCGTCTCGCTGGCGCCCCCGCGTGGCCGCGTGGGGTGGGGAGCACTCGGAGGCAGAGCCGCTCGCCCCCCCCAACCCAGCCACCGTGTCTCAAGCTGTCCGCACGTCCTCTGGGCGTCAGCGTTCGTCCCTCACTCCAGGCAGCCAGCCAGCGAGCCATACTTTGTTCTTTCGTAGAATAAGACAAGATCAACACTCGCGTTGCCGTGAAGAATATAAGCGACACATTTTAAACTGAAAATTAACCTATTTCATCAGGTAAGCACCACTGAGATCTTTTTCAGAAGTGACCTGGCCACAACAAAATGGCTTATCATCACGTGGACGTGTATAGCAGCAGCGTGTTTCTAGATGGGCAGGGAAAAAACGGAGGAGCTGGAGAAAAATCCATGTGACTTCGGGGAGAGAGACATGCAAACTCCAAATATACAGGCGTCAGGGTCGGGATCAAACCCACAACCTCCTGTATACCAGGCGAAATAGTGAACATCTCCTAGCCACCGCGGCGCCCATTTTAAATGAGCACATAGTTATCCTTCCTTCCCATCTTCTTCTTGTTTAGTGCTGCCTAACGGCGTGTGCGACTTCACGATGATATTGGTCCCGGTCTAGCACGGCGTGTAGAGTTTGTGCTGTTGTTAATTGTAGCCATGTTTTGATGTTACTGAGCCATGTCGTTTTTGGCCGTCCTGGTCGTTTTTTCCCTTCGATTTTTCCTTCCAGGATTTGCTTTAATAGCTGGTATTTGTTTAAATTAAGTGTTTTACACATCCCATCAGCCGTGCATTTGTCGTTCTGGGGAGTGCACGACTGAAGTAGTTCGTTCAACACAAGCACAACTCTGGACTGGTGTTCAAGTATCTCACCATCAGCAGTCGGGCTCGCTTGAACCTTGTGCTGGTGAGAACTGGCAGATGTTTATACTCGGCACGGACCCTCTCTGCGTGTTCGTGACCCCTGCGTTCTGCAGCGTCGCGCTCACCTCGCTGATGCCCCAGCGCCTGGCGGCCTCCAGCTCACGGCAAGTGCTGCCCCGTGGTCGCTGCGCGCACCTTGCTGTAGACTCACGTGGCACGGCTGTTGCCATGATCATCATCATCATCGTGCATAGTGCTGCATTCCAAGGGTAATATTAACACAAGTGGACACGCAGTGTCGCTATTTCTATAAGGCTGAGAACCAATGTTGAGGAGAGGTTTGGTTTGGCAGGTGGAGAGCGGTCATCACGCAGGTAACACCCGCCTGGCGAGTAATGGCTTGTGCTGGCTCGGCTGCATCATTCCAGCCCATGCGGCGCTTCTGTTTAAGCAGCTGTGTGTGAGACCATCACCGCTCATCATCTCTTGTGCAAGAGAAGCCTTGGCTCAAGTTAAACTAATAGATCACGGTCAGAGTGCACATATTCAGGATTCCGAGTCCTGAGCTCAGAATTGAATGCAGGGTCAGAATGCATTGCTAAGAAGGTATCGAGGCTCTGGTTTAAGCCTCTACATTTATGGTCCAGTGGGTATACTTCTTTTATACAATTAAATAAAGACCTTTGTATGTATGTCTCAAAGACCTCTAAGGTACTTTCCGACAAGGTAGAAAGCTGAAATTTGGTACAAATGTAGCTTTTAGGACACAAACAGGAAAATTCTGAAAATCAGAGATTTTTCATTTTAAGGCCTCCAAATCTCGATTTAAGTGCCCCATAAACATGTTTGTGCCTGGTTTCATTCAGAAACCGTTCAAAGTATAAAATTGCGGTTTTTTTGTTTGATAGAGCGTTAAACAGCAAATACAATTAAAGCGAGAACCATTCTATATTTTATTGTTTTTGAGATATTTCAGATTCAAGCGGGTTTGAACGAAAAAATACGCATTTTATGATGTTAAAATCTAAATGATTCGAAAAGGTTAAAGATAGTAGAGCTTTCCCTCAGAGTATTATGTTAATACATTTTGCTCTTTCTAATAAAAAAGAACGGAATGTTTAAATTGAGCGGTTTCCGATGGGTACGTCTTTAAATATAGGAAATTAAATCAAGTCAACAATATTTGTGTTTTTTGCGGAAAAATACACATTTTTGGAGTAGTTAGTCTGATCGTAGATTCAAATTGTAAAGATCATATCAGGTTCATTATTATATTGATTTAAACCGTTTGCCTGGTGAAGACAGGCTTTATGAACGAGTATATATAAAACCAGCTTGGTGACTACATATAACCTATGGTTACATGTATTTACACAGGAAAGCCACACAAAGCACAAAGACTCTCTTTCAGCATTAGGATGTTGACCTTGTATGTTTTAGCTAGAGGAGAAAACCGGAGAATCCCTTGGAAACCCATGGCGATTAGGGTGAGATAGATCATAAAAAAACTCTACTCACTCACTCTGCAGAAGAGGGGTAGAGAGATCATACAAATTCTAGATTTGAAGTTTTCGTGACTGCAAGGATCCATACTTCTTGGTTCTTTCGGTAAAGTCACGTAGATGAAAAATAAAAATAATAATAAAAATAATAAAATGAAAATAACTAAATGTAGTTATTTTAATAATAATAAAATGAAAATAACTAAATTTGTTTTTTTCATCTACGTGACTTTACCGAAAGAACCAAAGAGGATAGATCATACAAACCCCACTCTGCAGAACAGGGGGTGAACATACAAACTCCATTAACTCTGCAGAACAGGGGGTGAACATACAAACTCTATTAACTCTGCAGAACAGGGGATGAACATACAAACTCCACACACAGATGCACCCGAGTCGGGAATCAAACCCAGCGCCCTTCTCGCTGTGAGGTGCGAGCCTCACCGCTGACAGTGTGGCATTTCGCTGTGGGAGGAGCAACCCAGCTGATGACCTACATTGTAAACGCTCCCCTTGCAAGAGTCTCATTGTGTGCCGGGGAATATTTATAGGTGAGGACATTGAGGTCCTGATGTGCAGATAAAACCATTTTGTTTCACGATCTTTTTGTACAGTTCCATCAGATGGTGAAGCTTTTTTTAATCCCAGTGCGATAAGCTAAACTACTAAACATTTGTTTTATTCTATCAGATAAGGCGCTTTTAGCTATATTACTCTTTCCAGAAGCGATCTGGCCAAAAATGATAGCAAAATAAAGTGGCATGTGGTAATTTATAAACGCATGTTTCTGACCATGCGTTTATACATATATGGGACACAGATCATTACGTGAGCGGAAGATGATGAGGTTTCTGCTTTCACTTTGTTTTCAGAGGAATTCAATTATTGGAACATTTCCTGCGATGGCTGAAACAGCCAATCGTTTCTGGTACCGGCAGTGCCTGCTGCTGCCGCCGCCTCAGGAGTCTTGCCCGTACTTGACCATGGCCGTGCCACAGCTGCCGACCGACACGGCCGCTCACAGTCTGCCGTTGCTGCTGTGCTGCCAGCTTCTCGCATGTTGACGATGTTAAAGGTGGCTAGGAGATGTTAACTATCTCGCCTGGTATACAGGAGGTCGTGGGGTCGACTCCGACGCCTGCTGTATATTTAGTTTGCAGTGTCTCTCTCCCCGTGGTCACGTGGATTTTTCTCCGGGACCTCCGATTTTTCCCTTCACATTTAGAATCAACATCACGCGTTTAGAGTTTTTGGCTGCTATACATTTCCACATTACAAGCCACTCAGTTGAGCTGTCATTTGTAACTGCCAGGTCGCTTCTGAAAAACATATTTGTAGCTCAGTGGGCTTCATCTGGTAAAAAAAACAGTCTCTGAGATCACGCTGGCAGAGCATCCACAAGTGTGTAGACCTCTGTAAGTGGCCGGTGTTCTTCTGTGCAGTGACCGTAGCGCACAAGGGGATGAGCATTGCAGAGAGAAGCCACCCACCACTGACATTCACCGCAACAGCGCCGACGGCTGCCAGCGCTCGAAGCAGGAAGATTAGCACGGTTGGCTAACGTACGGTATGAGAGAAGTTCAACATTCATACACAAGGAGGCACGGCAGACTTTTTTTATGCTGAATCATTTACTACTGCGGGCATCGTGTTACACAGCATATCACACGCCACAAGCCATCACGACACACACAGAGGGCGCTCGCCTGGCATCACGCCAATTACGATACCTCACCGCCAACTCCTGCGTTACAACGCCAAAGCATCCATAACAAACGCATCTCCTTTAGGTAGCAGCATTTTGGATTTAATCTCCATTTCCATAATTATACAGTCTCACGTATCTATCTCTCGATATATCTACGTCTCTGTGAAGCAAGGATTAATTGCCCTGCTGTCTCCAGTGCAGTCAAATCGGTGCCGCCAATGCCAACATGGTTTCCACGTTCCCACGCACGGCGCTCTCGCACAGTCCAAACACAGACGGCGGGGAGCCTCTAAATCACACAGCGGGGGTGGGGTGCGACGCAGAGGAGGAATGCACGAGTCTGGGGCCACGCTCTGGGGCCCCCCACTCTGGGGCCACGTGAGCAGGCGGTGCGCGAGCGGTGGAGTGGGGGGGGGGGCAGTCAAATGAAGGGCTCGCGTGAGCCAGGTCCAGCAGGAGCACGGGGAGACTGACTCGTGCTGCGAGGCAGCGCCTGGCGCGAAGGACGCACGTGGACGGCAGCGGCAGAACGGAGGCCGAAGCTGCGCATCGTGGCGCCGGCAGCCCCGCCAAGCATGCGGACGGGAGAGGGGCCGCGAGTGGGAACACGTCACGTTCTGCCGGGACGTGGAATCCAACGGGCGACCCTCAGGATCGCGTCAATCCTTGACTCGAGTCACCACGTCGCAAGGTGAATTGATGTCCTTCAGAGCCGCGCGCCACCGCATAAAGCGATCCACGACACGGAACCACTGAACGCGTGGATGACGCTGGATGGCCTTCCTTCGCGCTACAGTTAAATTTACCCCTCGGGGAACGGGGTACGGCAAAGAGAAAAGTGAAATATCGTGGCTTTTACCGCAGCCTCCAGCGAGCGCGCCGTGACGGCTCGCTGCGCTCGGATCTCGCCGGTGCAGCCAAATGAGCTGCCGCCCTTGACCAAATCAACCCCGCGTGGGAACTCGGCTCAAGCCGCTTGGCACGCAACATCTGATGAGATGTTTGATTCCAAGAACGGTGTAGCCTGGTTAAACTCGCCACGGTGGTGAATGTTAACTCACTCACTTGGTATATGAAAGGACCTAGGTTTGATCCCCACCCTGACGCCTATATATGTTTGCATGTTCTCCCCGTGGTCGCGTAGATTTTTCTCCGGGTCCCCTGGTTTTTCCCTCCACATTGAGATCAACATGCGCCTAGAGTAATTGGCTGCTATAAATTCCCACGTGATAAGTCACTTCTTTGAGCTATCATTTGTGGCCAGGTCGCTTCTGAAACAGCGCTATATGTAAAATAAAAACTAAAATAAAAACGTTTTAAACCGAGATGCTAGGCTGCTATGAATTACCAGGTGTTTAAAGGCAAGGGCTGCGAGTTGACCAGGAGGTAAGAGGACAGCAATGGATTCTTAAATCAATATTTGCAGAGCTATGTGTGTTGATCCTCACCGAGAGTACCTGGTGTGAGAGGACTTTGTAAAGTTGGCATGTCCAACAATGAATTAAAATGTCAGAATCCTAACCACGTGCGTGGGTAGTGAGGGCTAACGGCTGTCCAAGAGGCTCCAGCAGGAGATTCGGTGAACGGGCAGAGCTGGCTGTGTTAGCACCGCCGCCTCTGCCGAATTGTGCGTTCGTTCTACACTGCCACGTCCACCTGCCTAGCTCTGCTCACATGCGGTGCCCTCTTTGCCCTTTCTTATCCTGGCCCACCTCTTGCTCATTGTGACTGCTTCTGTTTTCGGAAAAGCCAGAAATAAGGTAATCTCAAGCGAACTGGGGCGCTGTGGTAGCGAGATGTTGACTACCTCGCCTGGTATATAGGAGGTCGTCAATTCGATCCTGATCCCGACCGCGACGCCTGTATATTTGGAGTTTTCCTGTTCTCCCCGGAGTCGTGTGAATTTTTCCCTGGGTCCTCCAGTTTTTCCCTCCAAATTTTGAAACATGCATTTCAATCAATCAAGTCTTTGTTTCTATAGCACTATTTCGTGCAAAGGATGCCATTCAAAGTGCTGTACAGATTTAAAAAAAAACATTATTAATAGACTAAATCACAAGAATAAGTAAATTAAATTCCATACGAAACCAAATTGCATTACAACAAATTACTGTCAAAAGCATATTAAAAAGAATAACAACACTATAACATAATATTAAGTAAAAGCAAGCTTAAAAAGATGAGTTTTTAGATTTTACTTAGAACTGCTTAAGGATATTGAAGTACCTCATATCCCCTGGCAGCTGTTCCACAGGCGAGCCCATACACACTGAAGGCCGCTTCTTCCTGAGTTTTGCTCCTGGCCCTTGGGACGACAAAAAAACCGGAACCAGAGGATCTGAGGGATCTTGTTGGTTCATATCTACAACGCATAGAATACATGTGTGCTAGTGCCAAACCATTCAACGATTTAAAAACCAATAATATTTTTTTTATTGATCCAGTGACTGGCTGACAGCCAGTGCAAGGACCGTAATATAGGTGTTACGTGGGAGCTCTTTCTGGTTGTTGTGACCACCCGTGCTGCTGCATTCTGAATAAGTTGTAGGTGACATATTGACTTTTTCGGAAGACCGGAAAAGAAAGCATTTCAGTCTGCTGATAATAAAAGCATGAATCAGTTTCTCAGTAGTTAACCGAGAGAGAAAAGGCTGCACCTTAGCTATATTTCTAAGATCATAAAATTCCGTTTTGGTGATATATCTGATGTGGGCTTCAAAATTCAAATCCTGATCAAACAAAACACCTACGTTTTTAACCTGCAATTTAGCGTTTTCTGTCAGCGAGCAAAAATTTGTAAGCAGTTTATCTCTTTGGGCTTTTGCTCCAATTACCAGGACCTCTGTTTTGGCTTTGTTAAGTGCCAGGTAATTCAGTGCAATCCACATGGTAATATCATCAATGTACTTCATAAGGGTATCAATGGGGCTTATATAATTCGAAGAAACCGAAAAGTATAGTTGCGTATCGTCAGCATAGCAATGAAAATCAATCTCATGTTTCCTAATGATATTGCCTAGTGGTAGCATATAGAGACTGAATAAAACAGGTCCCAGAATAGAGCCTTGTGGAACACCACACGTAATTTATGCCTTTGAGAACGACAGACTACCTATGGATAGGAATTGCTCTCTGCTGGTCAAATAGCTCTTAAACCAATTTGAAACTGTACCGGAGAGGCCGACCCATCTCTGCAATCTGTCAAAATACTATTAGATTCGAAGCTTTCGTGACTGCAGGAATTACTCTTTGGTTATTTTGGCAAAGTCAAGAAATTACATTAAATAATAGAATACCCACGTTTCGATTGCAAAACAAGCAACCATCATCAGGTACAAATGAATGAGAAAACAAACATAGCAAACTTGGAAATACAATGCAATACAACACAGAGAGTCGGCCAACAAAACAGTCAACACCCCACCTGATTGATGACAGGTCAAAACATAGACACGGAGACACACAGACATACACACAAGCAGAGAGAGACTCACACAAAGACAAAGAGAGAGACACACACATAGGCACACAGAAAGACAACGTCTCTGTGTCGAGGCCTTAAATAGAGAGGGGGGGGGGGCAGAGGGGGAGTTGTGTGGAGTTCCTGCCCATAGGGGACGGACGAGCTGGACACTGGACTTCTAAACAAACAAGCACGGAGCGTTGTGTGGAACCACTGCCCATAGCGGCTGGAGGAGAGAATGCAACGTTGCCGATCATTGTTTTAACGCTGTGGGCTCACACGAAATTGATTTTTCCAAGACGGAGGTACTTTGAAAACCTACCGGCTACCTTCAGAGATTTTTTCACGAAGCCATCCAGATATATAAATACAGACACAACTTCAACCGAGAAGATGGGTACAAACTGACCAATCATTGGAAGGACGTTATTAAGTAGGTAAAGTGTTAACTGACTGTGATGTTTACATCCTACCTGCCTATGTCAGCTGTTATTTACGACTCTCTGTCTCTCTCTCTATGCCTCTCTCTTAGATCTCTCATGCTCACATTTCCTTTAGATTGCACCCGTTGGGTTTCACTCCCTCGTCGAGGAGGCCGCCTTCCTCCTATCTTACAGTTACATGCTAATTTATCACACTAACATCACGCTAATCACTCACATTAACATAGCCACTTCCGTGCCCTCGTCGATGAGGCCGCTTTCCTATCTTACAGTTACATGCTAATTTCTCACATTAACATCACTAGCCCCGGCCACTTTTTTATGACCCTTGGGCTACACCCATTTCAAACCCTTTAAAACAGTCTGCCTCAGCAGCAGACTAAGCTTTCCCACCTGATAACGGACGCTTGTGTTGCGCCCGAAACGTCGCGATTTATTGAATTATATACCTAAGTGACTTTACCGAAAGAACCAACGAGTATGGATTCCTGCAGTTACGAAAGCTTCAAATCAAGATGATACCATTCTAGTGTAAAACTAATCGACACACAACTTAGCAACCGGACATTCAGGGTGCACCTCCCTGATCAACGCAGCCGGTAGAGAATTATGAACAATGGCCTCCCTCAAGGCTCGGTACTCGCACCGTTACTATTTAACAAGTGACCTGCCTTATTCTTGGTTCTTTCGGTAAAGTCACGTAGAAGGGAAGTAATAAAATAATAAAAATAAAACATAATAAGACCAGGTCTTCACCTGAGGACGGCTGCTTGCGTTGTGGCCGAAACGTCGTGAGAATTATTTTATTATGTTTTATTTTTATTATTTTATGACTTCCCTTCTACGTGACTTTACCGAAAGAACCAAGATGAATCCCTGCAATCACGAAAGCTTTAAATCGAAAAAAGTGACCTGCCATGTACATCACCTTGAACGCTCATATACGCAGATGGGATAGCCCTTGTTGCACAAGGCACAACACTCAACAACAATGCCAGTACTCCAGCACTGGAGACTGTGACCAAATCCATCCAAAACCACCACAAGCGCTTTCCACTTGAACAATCATGCGGCACTTTCCACCATTGCTGTGTCCTTCTGTGGCAGCCCAATGCACTAGGACCCTACACAAATATATCTAAGAGCAACCATGGATAGAAGCCTGACCTTCAAGCCCCACATAAAACAGATCTTTGAAAATAAAAAAGTCAATAAAATAAACGTCCTGCTACGGAAACATGCAGGAATAACCTGCAGCGAACTGCTACCATATCACGGATCTACTCAGTGACACAGCCACTGCGCTCCAGCCTGGTCCAGGAGTTCATGCAAAAAAACTGCTAGATGCCCAGTTGAACAACGCAATGCGCACCATAACCAGAACACTGAAACCGACACAAATTCCATGGCTCCCTGTAGTAAAGCCGTTACGCTATCACGTGTCCGGCTCTTGACCAATGGGAAGCTTCCAATGCTGTGTCTAACAGCAGAGTTGAAATCCGAAATCGAGTTTTATTGCAAATGTAGTGTCCTCTTGGCGTGTGTGCATGTGGTGTGTGGCGCACACACTCAGTCGGAGACGAGGTAGTTGCAGGAGGCACCGTCTTTCTCTATATTTCCCGCTACACCCACTCCGGCCACCTCTCTCTCGACCACGCTGCCGTACAGCCCGGCCTAGACACAACCCTGACTGTGTTGCACCGACGGCGTCGACAGAGACAGCCAACTACTGTTCGGCCGTGCAATTATCAGGCGAAAGCGGTAGCGACAAAGGCGGCGAAGACGACAACGACGACGAGACGAGTCCACTCCCAGAACCGGCAGCCTGGAGCTCTCGCTCTCCACTGCTTTCATTCTACTCGGCACAGCCTGGCTCCGCCCTAGCCACTCCTCCCTTCTCGAACCTTCTAGAGGGTTCCAAGGGCCTCCCTATGAGGTCTTCCGTGACCCTTGCCCCAGTTCCTCCGCCCTGCTGCCACACCCGTGTATATGCTCCACGGCGTATGCGCTAACTGTCCACCGCAGTTGCCGCTGCTGGACAGCAGTCCGTGCTGTGTCACTACACTAGTGTAGTGACTGGGAATGTCACTGTGTGGTGCGAGGCCACGGCGGGATGTATACTGTTGTGTGTACACCACAGACACGGGGTGTAGTACCAGCCCTAGTGGGGGCTTGGGTGAGCGCTGGTTAAGGGCGGTGGCACCACGCACAGCTCCCGTTGAGAGAGCGAGAGAGCGTCAGCCAGCTAGGGTTACGTTGGGGGCATGATACTCTAGCTGACCTGGGGACATGTGACCGGATGATACTGGAGGGGGGCCACTGGTGGAGGGGGCCAATGGGTGGTCACATAGTCCGGGAAGAACTCTCGAGAGCCTTCGGACAAGGGCGAGAGAGATCGAGGTGGGCAGGGCGAGAGGTGGAGCCAGCCCCGGCCCGATATAAGGGGGGCCCTGTGAGGGGCTCGGGGTTCTTACTGTTGGAGAGGCAGGAAATCCACGTCAAGCTTGAAGAAGCCTCCAGCCACGCGGTCCGGGACCCAGCTTGTTGTCCGGACCGGGATAGCGGAACCGTGTCTAGTTCTGCCGTAGCGTGGTTAGTTGGGTGGCCACCACCCGAGAGTATGTTGTGTTAATAGCCTGGAGTATGTTGTGCTAATAGTTTAATAAAACGTGTTGCTCCCTAAGACAACGTCTGCGACTCAGTTGGACTCACTACACTAGGATAACAAAAACGAGTTTTACATTAACAAAGCAGATTTAACAATGAGGCCCGCTTACACTGCCTAGACTTAATATTTTCACGTATAATTATTTTACAAGACTAGTAGAGCTCGACGCTGCATATTACCCGGTTGTTGCGTTCTATTGATCTATTTATGTCTGGTGCCTTTTGGGCTTACTCTGAATTTGGGGTGACCCGTGCCTGGCTTCGAAGATTCTGTTTAATGCACCTCTGATTAGCGCGGTTGGCTAAATACAGTGCGAAATAAGTTCAACATACATTCATTATTCAGAATCAGGATCATAATCTTTATATATACTGGAGGAATCCGATGAGCTATGAAGCTCTTTTTCACAGATATCCAATATTATTAATCACAAGGTAGCAGGTCCGCTGCGCCCAACTGAGACTTTCCACAGGGCACGCAATGAATGTCCCTGGCTTTGAGGAACCTTTGAAGGGTGGGGTTAGTCACGTGATAGTGTGCTGGCCCAGGGTTACATGACTGCGACTGCTCTTTCATTGATCGACGGGTCGAGGAGCCAAAGGCTGTCACCATGGAAACCATGCCGGTCGCCGCCGATGGGATTAACAGTTCAGTGACACGTCAAGACCCATCACACCTCTCGTTTCTGGCGTTGTCTACTTGCCAAGTGCCTACTCCAGTCTACCAGCGACTAGTAAAGTATGTTCAAGCCCTGGTTGTAGCCTTGACAAGGTCTCGCCAACCGTAACATGAATTAAACTTGAACCAAACTTGACGCGGTCTCCGTTTGGTCGAAGCACAGAATTTACTCGCATGCCTGCTCTCGGCTCGACGTTCACCGTCGTGCCCTCCTTTTGTGACTTGCTCAGAGTGTGAATCAGGCTCGCTCCAATCGGTGCCACCTCCAGTCCCAATGGTCATCAGCAGCAGGAAAGCGCCATCCTGTCGGAGACAACCCAGGGAAAATCGGCGGAGTCCCACGCGCCGGTGTGCAACGACGGCCAAAATCCATCCACCTGGTATCAGATTACGGTAAATGCAGGGGCTGCTCACACATGTGGACACAGTCGGTGGTTATCACTTGTAGTGTTACCGTTAACAGACTACTTGCTGTCTGCTTTACAGTGCACCTTAATTATTCCACGATGGCATTCGCAAGATTAAGCCATGGTCCAAATAAAAAAAAATTACACCGCAAATTATGCAATTGGGATGACGCATAGCAATATTGACCACCTACTGTAAAACACCTGGCAGGACTTTCCATCGTTTTTAGGGCAGTGTGCTAACCACTGCACCACCGCTCGACCACAGACACGTGCACGTTTACGAAATTCTTGGGGTTTCATATTCCTGGTTCTTTCGGTAAAGTCACGTAGAAGGGAAATAAAAAAATAAAAAAATTCCACACACCCAGCCATCAGATTTACCATGGAAGTCGAAAAAGATGGTAAGCTACCTTTTTGGGATGTTCTAATACAAAAGAGACCTGATTGTTCAATGAGCCACTCTGTCTTCAGGAAAGCTACCCATACGGATGCTTACCTGAAACCGGATTCCCACCACCATCCATCCCAGTAGAATTCCCTCATCAAGACTTTGCACCATAGAGCCCAATGCATCTCTGACCAGGAGCACATTGCCAGTGAACTCAAGCACGTACACCAAGCTCTTAAGGCTAATGGTTACTCCGACTACACAATCCGCAAAGCCATCACTCCAACCATGAAGAAGGACCCTCTTGAGGAGCCATTCAAAACCATCACCTTACCCTACATTGCGGGGATCACAAAAAAGATCTCTAAAATCTTGAATAAACACAAGATCCAGGTCCGATTCAACACATTACATAAAATCCGTGATCTGGTTCTGTCTGTAAAATATGTGATTCCGGACATACAATACCCTGGCGTCTACAAACTGAGTTTCCTCTATGGTAGTAGTTACATTGGAGAAACCAAACGACATGTCTCGGACCGTATCCGTGAGCACAACGCAGACTTAAAACACGGTAGGACCAACACCTCGGCCGTGGCAGATCACTGTTATAATTCAGTGGGCTCCCATGACATTGACTTCTCCAAGACAGAGGTTCTTTGCAAGCCATCTGGCTACCATGAGAGATTCGTTCATGAGGCTATTCACATATACAAACACAGAGACAATTTCAACCGAGAAGATGGATTCTGGCTTAGCAATCATTGGAAGGATTGGATAAACCATTTCGGGTCTTAATTGATTGTGTTCACGCTTACGGTGACTTTCAGACCGCATTCGATTTTCTTCTCCCCCCTCCTCTTTTCCGAACATAGATGGACTCGTCTATCTGGCAAACTGCCAAATCGCTGTCTGTGGTGCTGACGTTAGGAAAAATCGCCACTTTTTTCAAATTTTCTTGCTGTGGATTTCACACCTGATGATTATTGCTTGTGTTGCAGTCGAAACGTGATCATTTTTATTTTTTTTATATTTTTATTATTTTATATTTTTATTATTTTATTATTTCCCTTCTATGTGACTTTACCGAAAGAACCAAGAATATGAACCCCTGTAGTCACGAAAGCTTTAAATCAAAAGCTTGGGGTTTCGTTCACTCCCTGCCACCGCTTCTTGTGTCCCCAGATTCCTTTTGGAAGGAAGTATGGGAAGAATGGGCTCATGCAGTCCCTGCAGCAGGGCTGCTACACGCCCTTTACTCCGTTGCAGGGATGAATGTGAGTGATTGAGCAATATGATCAGGCTGGCATGTCTACAATCCACCCTGGGTTTATAACCATCCTGGGTTTAACCATCCTGGGTTTAACCAATTGATCAAATGTCCAAAATGTGATTTCCCATTCATGAGTATATGCCCAAATGAATGAAAAACCTTTTCGTTCGGATTTGAATGATACTGTGATGGAGTCGATTTGTCCGATGTGGAGTGGGAGGGTATTCCAGATGATAGGATCTGCATATGAGAACGCTCGTCCATCAATGGGACCATGTCTACCACGCTACACCACCACCACACTGTGCCTCCTGGCAATGTTTTGTCTGTATGTGTGCGTTCTTCTCAGTTCCACTTTGAGGGAGTTATGGCAACATTCTCAGTGGTGGACTACATGGCGGCCGTGAAGCTCAAGGCGCGGTCGCGTAAAATTGTCTATCCCGACAACTATAGGGTGAGCGTGTCGGGAAGGAAGGCGGTGATAAGCCAGCCCTTACATGAGATGCACATGTTACATCAGCTGTTTGTAGCCCCCTCCTTCAAGTGAAGGGTGGCCAGGAGATCACAGATATATCATAGATTGTTGAATCCATCAGTCCAGAGCTTTGAGTGTCCTTGAATTGAATGTGTTGTGATTTTATTCCCCGGATAGTGCAGCTTCTGTCATGAACATAAACGCTCATTAAGGGAATTGGCCAAACAATCCTAATACAGGACCCTCGTGAACAATCGTCTTGAGGCTCAGAGAGCCTCAAGGAGAGGGCATAAGGAGAGAGCATTATTATCCGCATGTAGCCTTTCATTGTGGCCCCAAGAGGTTACTTGGTTGTTAATTGTGATCCCCTGTGATTCCTGGAAAATACAGCTGAAGTGGACTGAAGGGCTAGGGCAATACGTGCACAATTGGGCATGGGTTAAATGTATTCCAGCGCACACAAACACATGCGTTTAGGCACAGATGTAAGAATCATTTGATTTCCAGTTGAATAGCGTGTACCACGTGTGACGACCCGCAGCTATGAGAGATTCCAGCGCTAAAAATCGTAAAAAAAATCTGGATAAATAATAAAACCCATTAAATTGTGGGTGGGATCCGAGATTCATTTCAAGAATATATTTTTTTCCAATAATTTTCATGATCTCGTTTGCAATGCTTCTCATTATTCCTCTCTCGTTTTTACGATTTTTATTGATCCGTTTGCCAAATTTCTGCCATATTACCCCTGAAGATACAAAAATAAAACAGCATAGAACTTGCATCCAATTCCAATAATTTACACATAATTGGTGACCCGGGTCACTAGCAAATTAAGCATATGCTGGTCTCTTGGATTCTCTATCACTTGGTTGCACAACATACATTTGCATTGTGACATACATACACGCTCATGCACGATCCGACGCAACTTTCGTGACCACGTGCATGGAAGGATCGATGCGTCCCTGTCGGGCGAACAAGGTGACCGGCGTGCCGGCGGCCAGCTGATCGGTGTCGCCGCTTTGTCCGTGTTGCAGGCCATCGTCTTGATGCGCCCACTCGTGGGCCCACCGTCTCCGCTCGCTGCGGAACTGACGGAGGACGACCGGCGGCTGATCGAGGTGAGGAGGCTATGCGTACGGCCGGCATGTGGCTGCTGTACACTCAGCGCCGTTTCGTGTGTATGTGTTGTCTGCGTGTGTTAGAACATCAGATTGTGTGTGTGTGTGTGTTGGTACATCAGATTGTGTGTTGGTATATCAGATTGTGTTTGTGTTGGTACATCAGAGTGTGTGTGTTAGTACATCAGATTGTGTGTGTATATATCAGATTATGTGTACATATTGGTACATTCTATTCTTTGTAGGTATATTAGATTGTGTGTGTGTTGAAATATCAGAAGGTGTGTTGGTACATGAGATTGTGTGTTGGTACATCAGATTTCGTGTTAATACACCAGATTGTACGTGTTCGTACATCAGAAGTTATTACCACCACTATCTTCATCATCACATCAACCATTATTACTCTCAACATCATCATCCTCACCATTGCCATCATCTTCATCACCACTCACATCATCATAATCACCTTCATCACCATCACCTTTATCACCATTGCCATCATCGCCATGACACCCTTCAACTCTACCGTCACCACGACCTCAATCCTCGTTACCAACAGGAAGAAGCAAAGCTACCGCAGCCACCAGCGTCCACACCTCTGCCACCCACACCTCTGCCGCCCACCTCAGCCGACATTCAAGGCCTCATCGCGAGCTTCTTCAAGGAGTAAGGAGCCTTCCAATTCCCCGCACTAACCCACGCACACGGGTATCCCAGCCTGCACTCTTATGTTATATTTCATCATCATCATCATCAGGCATGATCATTGTACTGCTGGGTAAATGCTTCCCCAAGCCATCACGATCCCACTGTCCTGCAATGTAATAACCTACTTATAATCTGTACACAAACTAATTTAATAGCTCCAACTCCTGGAAGGCCTTACTCTTAGGGGCGTTCCCTCCCGTTGCTGCCACTGTATTTAGTTTTGACCAATGGCCATTATTCCTCTGCCAGTCAGAACGGTGTGTTTACACTACGTATGTTGTGCACGTGCCTCTCTGTCTCTCATTGGTGCCGTTTTCTTGTTGGTTTGCCTTGCTTCTATAGTTTAGTCCCATTATATTAATGATATCGTGAACTCTTCATCGTATATAAAGGTGCAGCCCTGCAATTCCCTTCGCATTCCACTGCCGATGGAATTGTCGCCACTAGAGGGAGCTCTGGAGACCCCTCTATGGGGTATTTGGCCTACTCTTCCATACTGATCGTACATGTTGGAAGTAGAGGGAGTACCCACACTTGACCCCAACACTGCTAATTGACCTGTGGTGAACAGCTGGCTGGACAGAGGTGCGGGGATTCAATCAATTTGCACCTTTGCTTCAACATTCGCTTACAGGACATTACACTGGCAACCTCTGAATTGCAAGCCCAGCGGAATAACTGTCACACCACTACAATCACACCTATGATTGTATACTTGCATCGTGAATAGAAAAATTAAGTTGAGTTAATTAATCTATGCATCGCTACGTGCTTAGTTTTTTAAGTGTGTTGTGTGTGCATTTGCAGGTAATACAATCTGTATGATACTGCAGACCGTCAGGGTCTGCTCAAGAAGTATCATAAGGATGTCCTCATCACCATCTACACCCCCTCAGAGTGAGTTGACGCATTAATACAAACACACACTCACACTGGCCTGCAAGGCTGTCACATGAAAGGATGAATTGGTATTTAACACAGACCGCTCTCGAGAGACTTTATTACTTACATTGCTTATCATCGGTACAGGCATTTAATAGCATTCATAATAACAAAACATTGTATATCGCTATCACATGGCAGGCCATTTCAAGTTCGCTGGAACGCGCGGAGGCTTTTTCACGTCGCCGCAAGCAGCCATTCATTAGCTTGCTTTAAATGCTACGAAATTAAACCTGGCTTCCAAAAGTGGAATTTAAATAATCGGTTTCTTTGATACCAGAAGAAAAAAATGCTTTACGCACAGGCTGAACTTGAAATACAATTGTTGATGCGAGTGCAACCACCCCCTTGCTTAATGCTCCGGATATCGTTTCAACCTCCAGAAGCAGCCTGGGAGAGGATGGTGCAGATAAGGAGAGCCCGGAAGATTCACTTGAGTGTTGGTAAAGAGCGATGTTTGCACTCATGTCATTGTGTCACCCTGCATCACGCGGTTTTGTTGTTCTTCGCCCGCACTTCCCATAAGCATAGTTGGCTACGTACGGTGGGAAAAAAGTTCAACATACCTACATGCGTATGTGTCGCCGCTCACGTCACGCGATTTTGTCGCCTGCCTACCCCCTCGTTCAACAGCCCGAGTCAAGCGGCTGACGGTGGAGGTCTTCCTCACACGCATCACGATGCGTCTTCCTTCACCACCACCATCAGCCGTGGCACGGTGAGCCGGCCATAGCCTTCCACCCTCACGCCCTGCTACTGGCTCTGCCTACACACAAAGAGCTGAGCTTGTCCGGCCTGAGTTCGCAAACAATTGCGGTGCACAAGCCCTCAATTTACGTTCATAATTTTTACTATAATAATTTTTTACTTGTTCGTTTATACCAGGGGTCGGCAACCTACGGCTCCGGAGCCGCATGCGGCTCTTTACGGGCTGCTTCTTGACGATATGTACGTATGTACAGTATGTACTCAGATGCATTGCGGCTCTTGAAATACTGAATTTTGTACCGAATTGGAAAGAAATGGCTCTTCTTATTTTGGTTGCCGACCCCTGGTTTATACCCTAATTTGTACGTCAAAATGTACACCTTAAGCGTAAATTATCTTAGATGGATTCAATCCATCTTCTTCGCCTTAAATATACATTATCCCTAGCCTTGACACTCAATCCCATCATGATCCCTTGCCCACATCTGAAGATTATCTCTAACCTTGACATTCACACGAGCCCAGACTGTCACATTTACTCGAGCCACAGCACTAACCCTAACCTAGACTATGCGGTCGCCACCTCTTGGGTGGCTTGCAAATGAGGGACGGTCGTGTTTACTTGTGACTCTCACTTTACAGAATACTCAGGTGAATTTCACTGTCCATGGCTTCTTTAAAGAGAGTATCTGCATAGTCACATTCACCATCAGCTTCATCATCATCCTCATCAGCAGCAGCAGCATCATCAACACCATCACTGACATTTAACTCCACCAGGTGCATTCTGCACCGCCTATCATAGACACCACCTCACCATTCTATTGATCCTGCCCTGCGGTTTGTGTCCACGGCGTGGCTCTATCCGTGCGCCTGTGCCATGTGTCGATCGTCAGTCAAGAATTGCCGGGAGTCAGTGAAGGTGTTTTGGTGAGTGGTGCAATTGGTGCCAACCATGGACGGCAGGTGAGTCACTTGCACCGTGACAGCACACATCATCGTGACAGCACACATCATAAAAATAGGTGCAATACTCTGGTTTTCCAGAAGGCAGTACAGCAAGTGTGGACTAATCTCCATCTTTTCTTCTTTTTGGGATAGAGCGTTGTTCCTTTGATTTTGTGAGGTTTCTCTAGGTGCTCCCACACGTGTCAAGTCGTGAATTGGCAGGTCCCTCCTTGAAAAGATTTACTGGACTCACTTTAGCTTGCTGGATAAATAATTAACGTGTTATTATTATTGACCTGCTTGTGTTCCTACCCGGCAGGCCATCTGTCGTGAGCAAGCGGCTGTTCATCCGCCAAGCTTATTCAAGTGAGATCCCCCCTGTACTTGCCTCAAACACATCACCACCGTCCAGCAGCTCCACGCACACGATGCTCACCTTGTCACGTCGTTCTCCGACATATCTAAGGATGACACCGTAGTGGTTGCAAAGATTGGCGAGAGCACGTAGGACTGCCCTACGGCCACACGCACGAACGCACACGCACGCACGTACGGTGCCATGGGCTGTAGAAACCCGGCGCTAACACTCTGTTTGCCTCCTGTGCACGCTCACCCTCACAGATGCCTGGAGCAGAACAATTGGGATTTCTCCAAGGCGGCCGATGACTTCATCCACCTCAATGCGAGTACCGTGCCGCCCACACTGCTGACCGACACGCGGCGTCACAACTGGACGGGTGTGTTCAGATTTGGCGAGCGTCGCTCATGACGCCGCTTGCCTCTCCTTCTACTCTGCCCCTCCTCCTTCCCGCATCAGCATCGCTGCTCCGGGTTTGGTTGTGGCTCCTGCTCCGGTGCGGATCTACCAAAACCACGGTCGGCAATCGTCATTCCCATCGTCAGAATGGAGGGAAGATTCCGGAGGAGGAATTTATATAATCAGCGCTCACCCCACCGAATGGATCCTTCCACATGTTTCTGTTTTGTGTCAAACTTTGATTGTTTTTTGTATTATAAAATGTAATAATTATTATGCTATTAGTTTTGGCTGTCGTTGTGACATCTGTTAAAAGCATCGCTACGGATTGCAGTGCACGCAGTACAAACCATCCTTGCTTAGCGCTCACGATGCATTTTACCATTGTAGAAATGGGGATGTGTTCCCGACAATGTTATTTCTCATGTATGAGCAATATATGATTGGCTTCATTGGGTTATTTGTAAAATCGCTAATAAAAATGCAGATTGTAAACAGAACTTTATAATCTATATAACACGTGACTGTACTCACCAGTGCATTCTGCTGTACTCTTGGTGAGGTTCATTTTATATGGAGCCTGAGACTCTCATCTGGCTAACTGTAGTGTAATCACATTGAAATTCCGTTTCCTTGTATATAGATCACTGTCCACAGAAGAAATTTGTTTTGTGGGCCAAAGCATTAGTTGCTGCATATCCAGTAGATCTCGAACATCATTCACTGATTAATTCCTGTTTTTCCTGCATTGGTATGCAGGAGGAAAAAAACATTGGCAGATATGCTCAAATCCCACATATCTAACAAGCTGATCAGCAGCTTTCAGAATGTTACATTGCTCTGTATCTTGCCATCTTGGGAATCAATTGTGAAAGGGAGGGTTATTTTTCCAAGCTAAAGCTGATAAAAAAAAATATGTCTCCCATCAACCAGAGAAAAACAACGTTGCCTTGTTTTTCCTTGCACTGCTACTTTCTATCTATTGAGAATGAGACTGTGCGAAATGTTGTTGCTAATTTTGCAATGAAAACATTTCTAAAAGTTTATCTCCAGTGTTAATCTCTTTCACCTTATGAAAAAAAAACACTTACAATGACAGGATCCTGCATTTTTGTATCTGCACTGTGCCTAATCATACAGAGACTCAGGATCATCCACAAGTGTGTATAGCTCTGTAAGTGGAGTGATTGTAGCGCACAAGGGAGTGAGCATTGCAGAAAGAAGCCACCCCTGACATTCACCGCAACAGCACCGACGGCCGCCAGCGCTCAAAGCAGGAAGATTAGCGCGGTTGGCTAACGTACCATGTGGATGAATTTCAACATTTATACACAAGGAGGCACGGCAGATTTTTTTTATGTTGAATCATTTACTACTGCGGGTATCGTGTTACACAGCATATCACGTCACAAGCCATCACGACACACACAGAGGGCGCTCGCCGGCATCACGCCAATTACGATACCTCACCGCCAACTCCTGCGTTACAACGCCATAGCATCCATATCAAACGCATCTCCTTTACGTAGCAGCATTTTGGATTTAATCTCCATTTCAATAATTATACAGTCTCACGTATTGCTTCAGCAGTGATATCTATATCTCGATATATCTACGTCTCTGTGAAGGAAGGCTTCTTGCCTTGCTGTTTCCAGTGCAGTAAAATTTACCCAGCTAATGCCAACGTGGTTTCCACGTTCCCACACACGGCGCTCTCGCGGAGCCCAAACACAGGCAGCGGGGAGCCTCCAATCGATGCCGCAAGGGGGGAGCAGAGGAGGAATGTGCAGCTCTGGGGCCATGCTCTGTCTGTCGTCATAATGGCCAGAGGTGATTGGGAGTTTCCCGAGATTGTGCCACTAATTGTCTCCCACGTTGATCGCTTTGCTCGTGGCGTTTTGCAGTGAGTGCACGTTCCACTAAACGGCAGAGGATATAATGAAATCAAACTTTTTAAAAAGAAAACTGGTTTCACGAAGTAATTTTTTTTAAAAAGTAGATAAACAGTAGCGGCAGCAGGGGTCAGGCAAACCCCACGAAACTTGAGACATGCGCACGGTCGAATTCTGCGCACGTGCAACCCCACGCACGCATCAGGAGTGTTAGCAATCGATCGCAATCGAGGAACCGATGCATCGTCCATCGCACCCCCATAAACCACCGAGCCCCGTTAGGAAATCTGATTGCTCGGCGTGAAGGTTCAGAGCAGTGTCTCGGTGCAGCCGCGGGACCGACGACATCAGACAGCGGCGTCCCTACCGCACGCCGGCTCCACAAGGAACGGTGGGAGCAAGATGCAGACGCAACGGGGTGGACAACGCACGAATCCAGTGGTAGTGCGGGACTGGGACCGACCTCACCTAGGAATGTCATTCATGTGTGTGTGGCAGCATCACTCCGCGACTCGCTAGGGCACATTAACGGACACATAACGTACAAAGTGCCCTATTGCTAGTCACAATCTTGGCATTGATTCCTACCTTTCTGTGTTTGTGTGTTCTCCCCGTTCTGCGTGGGTTTCCTACGGGTTCTGCAGTGTCCTACCATAGCTAAACACACACACATACAATGTAGCTGTTCTGGCCAAAACACATCCCAATGCTGAAACAAATTACCCAATAAGAATCACCGATAGCAGCAGCATTCCCCCCGACTGTGATACATTGGCAGCACCCTCCTGAATGGAGTCTGAGACTCACCCGGCTGAGGCTCTCCTGGGTGAACGACATCACTGGTCCCCTTTACGGAGCCCATGTCGTGCCAAGCGACTCACTCTTGCCATCGAGCCAAAATCGGGGGTCTTGGCGGTCCGACGTTTGGTCGGCCATGCCGATGAGCGCAAGTTGATTAGCGCACATGAAGCTTCAACACCCCGCTGGAGGCAACAGTTGCACTGAATTAAGAGTTGCACCGTTTAGCGTAACCCATCTCGTGGGGTGCATCTAGCCCACGCAGCGATGAGGCAGACGGGGCATCCTCTCGCCCGCACACCGCCTTCAGTTGGCCCCGGGGTCGCGGTCGGGGTTGACCCAACCCCCAAAGCCCCTCTCCAGCTCACGTGCCACGGCGAGCGTCAGCCGGTCCTGCCGATGATTGCCCACCACCTGTATGCCCAGTGGGACGCGATCTTGACCCAGGCCCAGAGGACACTGCGTCACGGGCAGCCCCAGCACGTTGAATATGCCTGCGGGGAAGGTGGGCCGCAGGCAGACCACGCGTCAGGAATTTGGGAATCAATATCAAAAGGTTCAACAATTTCGTACTTTCCGAGAGGAAGCGAAGTGAGCAGCGATTGCTCGGCAAATGAGGGCTGACCCAGCATCTGCGCGCAGCCAACGATGTACCGGTGAGCAACGCTCAGCGCATGCAGAAACTCTGACAAAGTATTGAACCGTGCACGTGAGGATCAGTTGTTTACGGGTTACAAAAACTGCACACAAATGTTACACTCAAGTAATATTCAGGCGAACACGTTGAATGTAACCAAAAAACGAGGAACAGAAATGGCACAGTATGAACAAGACAAAACATTTTCGATTTCTGAATTGAGTTCATCATCGTCATCCCTGCTTAATCCACTGCTGGATCAACGTCTTCCCAAGCTCGTGCCATCTGTCATGCTGCAGCGACATAACAATCCACCTCAAGCCGATTTCATTGGTCCTGATCTCGATGGCTTGTGGCATCGCTGGCTGGGCAGCAGGCGGGTCGACTCGCCACATGGCTACCCTCGCCGTGGCGTGAACTACGGCACCGGTCGTCGCGGGCGTCGTCGCGGGAGAACCCGCGGGCGCTCACCCGTGTACGCGAAGTTGAAGGGCGTGAGGATGGGCTCGTTGTGGAAGGGTGCGGGGCGCGGGTGAGATGGGTAGAGCAGCACGCCGTCGTCGCCCAGCAGCGCGCTCAACTCCGCACGCAGCTCCCCACCCAGGCGCACGAACCCCGCCGCCGCCTTGGGGTTCAGGTTAGCCAGGCTCTCCATGAGGCCCAGGCCTGCGGGATCAGCACAGGGGCGGCACGTATTTATCTTGATCGAGTCCGATTTGGGAAGGTTTTACCGCAATGGCAAATTAATTTCACGATGCATAGAGCACCACCGTGCCCCGTGGTCGACGAAAGAAGAGAACCTGCTTCTGCGCCAGGGCCACAAGTCAGCGCATACTCCGCTGCCTCCTCCCCCATGACCCAAGCCTCATCTGGCTTCAGCTAGCAGCAGAGTCGCAAGCCGCGCTGTAGCTGTACAACATAGTTTTCTACGATGACAGTCGGTGAGACCTAAATGCGGCCTCGGTCCAACGGAAAGGTTGAGAACCGATATAATAATGGACAGGGATGACAAAAAGCACTCGGAAGCTTGGGTGTCGGAACTGGAAATGAGAAGTAAAGTCAGTGCCATTCTGAAATGTTTAAACCGAATAACCGATTGTGACAACATGCGTACGAGGTCAATTGGGTGAACAGGCAAAACAGCGAGAAGGTGTTGTTTCACCACGAGAGAAAGAACGGCATGCTACGAGCACGCAAAATGCCATCTCGCTCACGGTCCGGGTCGCATCGGGAGTTTTATCGTAAAAGTCGTGCAGATGTATGTTGCTGCCCAACAGCATTCCTCTTGCGCGCACTGTCTCGTGTTTTCCTGCCCCACTGGGCGCCCTCAAACCGGCACCGCGCGACACACTCACGTCCGCAAGCCGAGCGGTCCAGGGTAACCGCAGAGGCCAAGTCAACAGGGCCCCATCGTTCCCAACAACGCGACTAAAAATCTAAAAACTAAACTACCAGGTAAGTCACACTGAGCTGCTATATTGCTCTTTTTCAGAGTGATCTGGCCACAAATGATAGCTCAACAAAGTGGCTTATAATGTGGACATTCATATCAGCCCAATACTATAAACGCGTGATGTTGATTCTAAATGCGGAGGGAAGAACCGGAGGATCCGGAGAAAAATCCACGTGACCACGCAAACTCCAAATATACATGCATCAGGGTCGCTATTGAACTCACGACCTCCTCCATACCAGGTGAGGGAGTTAACATCTCGCCACCGGGGCACCCCAGTGATGTCCGCCCACGAAAAACGGCGAGGACGTTTGACACGAAACACATGGCGGCGACCTTGGTGCCAAACCCAGGAATTGACAGCCGCGATGCCGCGGCGATGGTCCGGGGTAACCGCAGAGGCAGAATCGACAAGACCCTCACCATGCCAGCCCAGAGGAGGCCATGTAACCGTGAAGCCAAGAATGTAAACGTAGTGAGAGGTGCTGCGTTTCCACAAGCGGCAGCGCGGTGTAGCGGTGGTGGCGGCGGCGACTGACCGATGGCGGGCAGCGTGTGCCTGGAGAGGCCGAGGGGCCACTTGAGGAGCTCCCTGCGGGGCGAGACGGCGGGGCCGCGGTCTCCCATCAGCTCCGCAAACGACTGAGCCGGCTGCAACACAGCCACATGCGCCTCTCGCTCGACATGCGGCAACAAAAACAAAGATCCCTCGTATAACCTCTAATAGGCTATGGGGACAAGTGCTGTTAGTGACCGCCTATGACGGTCGGCACGGCATACAAAGGGGTGGGTGGCCAAAACCACGCCCAGCTGTCTTTCTCTTCCTCGTGCTGATGTTTATTACACACTGAATACCAGTTATTCATTTAAGGCTGAGTTGAAATAGGGGAGGCACTCAGGACTGGTTCGGATATTCGTACGCGGGAACCGAACTCGGGTCGCCGCGTTCGTAATGCAGCGCGCTATCGTTGCCCACACTACCCCACACACACACAGGCAAACAAAGACCCCTCTTGTATAACGTTAACAGACTTTTGGGGCAAGTGCTGTTAGCGAGCACCTATGAAGGCCAGCACCAAGCCCGGTCGCCTTTGTCTTCCCAGTGGCAATGTTTACACACCGCACCAGGTGCTCATTTAGACGAAGTCGGCCAAGGGAAGGGGCCCAGGACCGGTTCAGAAAATCATCACTAGTGTTGGCCGTAAGT